ATCAACGCAAAATGTATCCGCTAATACATTCTAATCATGTTGATACAGGCGGATTGTAATTCGTTCGGGTCAGCAACGACCCGCTTGGTCTTGTTAAATCTGGCAATCGTCTCATTAGAGATCTGCAGACGTTCCTAAACCAGCTGAGGCGGGTCAAGCCATTGTGGCGTACATTGCATATTGGGCATCGACCGACACGGCGTAAAGCCAGATCCTGCCACGTACCTGAGAAAAGTTGATGTCTTGAAAGATATCTGCACACATCCCAGTCGGCTTAGTATCTGAGACTGAGGCCGATTATGGCTACAATTCAACATACCTGTGTTGAAGATCTCTAGAAAGCGCAGCGTCTCATTCCCGATGAACTGAAATCTAGTCAACAGCTGCTTATTTTATATGACTTGGAGTTTGAGTGTAGACGTACTTGGATTCGATTGTAGGCTACGTCTCTTGTATCACACTAATCTGTACATTAGTCACTCTGTATCTGGATAATACTAACTTGGGTTTAATTTGAACGCATTGTGGTGGTGGTACAATGTGTATGAGACGGAGAGAAGAAGCCACATGTCCAAACAACAGTGAAAACGACGGTGTAAATGGCCTTCTGCCGGGTGGACGTGCTCAGAGAAGAGTGAGATGCCAGTGGGTAGCTTCAGGTAAGAGCACAGCGGTGCACGTATAACGCGATGACTAGATACGCGCTAGTCAGCACATTCTTGTCGTCACTGGAGTCAGTCAAAACTCCTTGCTTGACGTCAACTGTAATACCATTTTCGACTTCATTTATTGTTTGTAGAGACAATAAGCCCCTGATCCTTTGTACATACATAATATTTTTACATTTTGATAACAAGCAATCATTTTGTATCGCAATAGCTTGTGATAATGCAACCCACCAACCTGCTGCTGACAGAACTCGAAGCCCGGGCTATTAGGTGCAGACATGTTTCTGTATACTGACGTGTGGTGCAAGCTCACGAAATAAAACGCACTGCTGTTGGTCCGAGGCTGGGAAACACCGCGACAATGTCCAGCACATCTCGTAGGTGAAGCACCAATTTTCCCGGCTCCTACTCGCGTCAGCTGGCTAAAGTAGAGCTTGCAAATGCATCAAGAATATATAGCGTGGAATGATGTTGATAACAATAATGATGCGGTTTCGAGGAAGAAGGTTCGCAGCGTAGTATGTCCAGAGCGTGATGGTTGTCTGCACATGCATGCCACTACACCATGATTTGGGCTGTTGGCGTAGAGAACTGTGTGCGATCGGATGGTGATCGCTGTGGGACGCTTCTATTGTGCCTGCTAGAGAAATCCTCGACCGCCCATTGTGTTGGAAGTGCGCGGAACATGCGCTTGCCAATGCCCGTATCAAGATGATCTGTGATCCACCAGCGCTATCCAGTCGAGTAAGGAAAGCCCTATATTCTTCTCGTTTCCAATGCTTGAGATGCCTGATAAACGTCAGTCATCAGGCACGCAGTTTATAAATGTGAAGTAATGAAAAGCTTACCTGGATGAACATACCTTGCCTTCTAGGCAACATTTCTTGTGTGCAAGCCAGATAAAAAGACTATGAATGCTTTCTCTCGTGATGCAGCTGTAGACGTCCCAAAATAGTAGCTGAAATAGAATGAGGTCAAGTGAGGGTTTGAGAACAAAAAGTGCGACTTACGTGGATGAGGAGTTCAATCGAGCTGCGTCAAGAGTCACAATCATATGTCAGGGCCAATTGCGCATCGGTTGCCGGACAGTCTGAGCAGAATGAGTATTTCCAAGAGCATCAGGTATGCATCCTGTGCGTCTATCGGTGCGGGAACACTCTGGGTAGTAGTAGCCACCCTCGCATCGGATAGTCCGGACGCGGATACAGCGGTCACCATCCTCCTGTGCGTGTGAATACCACTGTATATCCACTTGTCTGGTCTCAAGCAGCCATATGCAGATATAGCAGGTCTCCGGTGGTCCCTGGTGCAATGCTCTCATCCAGCTATGGTCGAGGATTACGAATTCGATGTACATGGCCGGTTTCCATCGGCAACGAGGCAATCCGATAAAACCTGGGGCGGTCCGCTTACACGCCCGAAAAAAACCACTTGATAATTGCTCAGCTTGTTGAGCCTGTGCCTACACCATCAGTAGCATCCTGTTCAGCTTCATTAGTATTGAGTCACTCAAAGTAACATCTCAGTGAACTAACCTCTCCGACGTACTACCCTTCCCACATGGAGGTAGCGTATTTGAGAGCATCCCATCCTCCCAGATGTGACTCTAGCATTGAAGCTTAGTAAAAAAATACAGCTGATTATCATGTTATACAAATATACCTCAAGAACCTGCCAGCTTTTCTCTTGGCATTGCTGTCTATGAAAGGCGCAAGCGCCACTGAGTCAATGACACCCGTTGGGCTCATCCGATGAGAGTGCCCCGTGAGGACGTTCGGAGATGGAGGAGTACCGTTCTGAGCAGTACTCGTGTCCATTTACATCGTTCTCTCTCCTTTCCAGGTGCGCGAAGTACCACGATGCGCCTGTACCTCTGGCGGTTGGCAGATGACGATCGAACCAGGAAGTTCAAAGTAGGCAAGCAGAAAGGAAACGGGTGGAAAAGCGAATAGTAAAAGCATTGATGACTGCCTCGCGTCATTAGTTGGAGTGTGGGATGAGAGTGGACGACGTGCAAGTTCCAAACCACCGAGAGTATTTATGCAACAGATAACAATGCAATGGAATGCGCAGGCGTGTGGGGCCGCGCGTTCTATGACAATGCACGAAGGGATTGGGAAAGACATACAGCGGCACTCATTGCACTGATCTCCTGACCTTTGTCTGTGGTTCATCCATTGGAGACTCCATTCTTCCAGCTTCTATCCTTCAGGATTTCAAGGGTGCGCCATAGTCTTATTCAGGGGAACAAGCCAGGGCCATCTGAGTATCATAGCAGTGAAGACTCGGTGCATTGTTCCAGCCTGAGGACTCGGAGCCCATGCGTCTCATTTTACGGATTGAATACATCATGTCATTCGTGAACAGAGATGGAATAGGGACACAGATATAAATCACAGAGCGCGAAATTCTCAGAAGGCTTTGTTAGAAGATTTCGGCGATGTCGATGTTCGATGGAGGAGGGGGAGGGGGAGGGGGAAGTGACAAGTCGCAAATCCAAAGTCGAGTAGATCGGAGTTTTTTGGCGCTACTTTCACGGGAACTGCCGATCCGAGGTCCTCAGCGCTTAGCTCAAGGCTCTTGCGAAGTTCGTCGTTGTCGTCGTGAGGGGCTTTCAGTTGTGAGCGTTGTGGTCTGGCTCGGACTTGCGAACTAGCGTTGATTTTTGAGTGCTCTTATACAATCTCACTCACATGGTAGGAATTATAATCCAAGGTGCGTGCTAATAAAACCAGTCCTGGCACCAACTTGTCCGAATCTTCTAACGCTTCCTTCTGGTGTGTTCATCAATTAAGAGTGGATTTTGACACCATATCTCAAGCTCTGGAGAAAATCCTGCGCAACTGCTTACGTGACTTATGTTGGTGATGTAGAGAGGATGTTCAGCATAATACTATTTTTCAGTGACCCAACCACACATCACTCAGGTGTGCGCAGTCGCAACACTGATTGGAAGCTTGCTTACTTGTTTCATTCGAGACGCTCATGCGAATTGTGTCTTGAGCTAAGTATCCTTTCGTGTTCCGGACTGCAATTTATGCTAGATAGTTGTGGTGAGTCTGTTACGATGTATTTTCGCCCTACATATTCACGACAGTAGTCTAGGTGCGGCTCTATAAATCAGGTCTTGCATTACCCCGTAGGTGAAGAATTACGTTGTGATTAAGAGTTATTACTTGGTATATTTCTGCCTTTTTTATGCTAAAATTGGTTCCGGTATTCTTAGTTTTGTTGTCCAAACGATGCTCATCATGGGAGTTCTCTATTTCATTGAAGCCATTGCTAGAGTTATCAAATCGCTTATGATCAAATCTGTGCCCACAATACGCTTTCATCGCTTTGCAGGCGGCATGCGCTTTGAACCATGCTCAAGCACGCAGCGACGCACGCTGTTCATGTTTACGGGGTAGAAATACATCCTATAAACCCTCTTCCTGATCACTTTCACCGCGACGACCCACCTCTCCCTTTGTATTGTACTGCTGATGAGGACAATCATGTATGTACTCATCCTCAGCTCATTCGACGCTATTCCGCACCTCATTCTTCCCAACCCAATCGTCGCTCCCTGGTACCCATACTCCATTGCCCAGGAGCCCAGGAGTATTCAGCATTTACAGTGCTCTTCAGCCCCACTTCATTATTGTCACACGTCCATGATACGCTTATGCGCGTTATATGGCATCGGTATATGTGTGTACGACAATTCATGGATACGATATGGTTTTTACTCATACGGTACTCCTCTACCATTATCAGCGTGACGCTCCCAGTTCCGAGCTATCCAGCGTGCCACGAGCGGCGTGTTACGTTGTACTAGGAAGGCTGTGCCACACGCCACCCTCACAAAATTTCGCTTATGCACCTGCAGCTGGTTGTGGCGAAGGAATACTGAGATTTCATGCAAGCCTCGCAGGAGTTTTCACTATGGTATGTGCTCACTGCATCCATTGCAAGGCGTTTCAAGATTCAAGGTCTGGTTTCCTGACTTGTGTTCAAAAGGAAGCCCGAGATATTTTCAACATGTGATGGAGGAGGCTGTTGGAAGACGGGCCGACAGATGCACACCTTTCAGCCGTAAATCTGCATCCATGTATGTCTTCTAGTAGATTTGATCATTGACACCGTATTCCCACTAAAATTTTGGTTTGACAGGTTGGGGTAAATCGAATATTTCCTTCCCCTCGCAACTTTTGCCGTGTTGGTAATTACCTTGTTCAGCTTCTGGCTAATGAGGTAACGCATGGTAGACAGGTTGGACTGAGGGCTGCGAGTACTCGCGAAAGGAGACTTATCGAGGATAGATTTCAAGCTCAGTCTCGAGCGTACGCGATGGGTCACTTCCCATTCAGCACATCACTCGCAGATGACCAGATTCCACTAGAATGGTGGACAGTGCTGAAGTTGGCACCCCAAGCAGAAACGTTTGCCGTACGTCCGATTGAAAAATATCTCTCTTATGTGAATTAATTTCTCGTCGATAGATTCTCGCCATCAAGCTCTTTTCTGTCGTATCGACCTCAATGGCCGATGAACGCACATCATCTGTACAATACTGATTCTAGCATAATTCCCAATTGACCGGTGGCCAGGATCAAAAATAGGAAATCATGCTGCTTCATATCGCGATGAGGACAGTCTTCATGCCTAGTAAGTTGTACTCTTGTATGTTGACCGAGGAGTTATGCTCACTTCATGAGTGTTGCGTAAGCTTGAGTAGACATCAGTCGGACACAGCAACTTGACCGCCCTTATCATCCTCGGCCATCATCTCGTCGTCTTCGCCGTAGTGGGCGACCTCGTCGTGTAAACACTCACCGTTCGTATGCGCACAGGAGATCTGCGTCATGAACACCGGTGGGCATGACAAACTTGCACCCTTGGTCTTAATTCTCCTTCCTGTCTGCCGTGAAGTAGTTCTCGCGTGTTCTACAAAGCAGTACCACTTCTCCACACTCCTGAAGATAGTGCACACATTGCTGAAACTGCGCAACAGTTGCTTGACTATAGAAACCCATCAGCGTGGCACCATGTTCATGTTTATTTAAACTTCATTCTACTTTATCATACGAATGTGAACTCTTTGT